GAAAATTCAAATAAAAAGATCATAGTTGATAGAGTTAACAATTATATTAAGGCCCATAATTTTGCTGCTTTTAACTACTATACTTCTTTTGCCAAAACTCAAAAAAGAATTTTGAGAGGAAATGTTTATAGAAGAACCAAAGGTAAAGGAAGAGGATAGCAATTCTTGAGAATGTGCCAAGCCACTAAAACAAGAATTAAACCCAAAGGGCAAAATTCAAACCCAAATCAAACTCAAAATACAATTCTTTTACTAATATTTTCTCCACTTTTTTATATAGCTATGAGTACAATTCAAGAAGGAAGAAAAAAATATCTCCATCAAAAGAGTACATATTTAAAGATACAAAATACTTTTCTTCAATTAAACCGAATATGTTCCATGGACACAATCTAAAATTATCTTTCCAACAAATGAATCAAGATACTGAGTTTTGTATCTCATTTTGAGGTCTATACTGGAAGGATAAAATATTAGATGATTATTCACATCCTTCAACAAGAATTAAATACACTGAGTCTAATACTTCTCACACGATGACTGCTACAAAAAATTTGAATCACTACAAAGACAGTATGCAGAAATGTAAGATTTATATTCAAATGTAGGCTATACAACCAATGGAAGGAAACACTGGCACAGAATTCAGAGATCAAGGTTCTAAACCCTTCTCAGTAACAATTCCCAGGGCCTTCTCGAAATTAAACTACATGATCTCCAAAGCTACTACAGTTATAATATTCCAAAAATGGCAAGAAAAGGCAACACCTAGAACACATCATACAATTAAAAGTATGACTCTTTGAAATGATACTAAACAGAGTAATAAGGAAAATCCCCATGTAATTTGGAAGTGTATTTCTTATCTATATAATCTTAAAAGCTTATAATTCTGATCAAATGAAACAATATTTGAGAGTTAATAAATTTACTGAATCTAATCTGCTTGCTATTTATTCTTTTGTAATATTTAAGCTGAAGAAGTAACCTGAATAGGAAAATGTAGCATTCCTAAGATAATTACTCTTTTTCAAAAAATGTTTATTGAGCATTTAGGTAGGTACTGTGGTTAAGTGCTTAAGATGCAATGAGGAACAGGCTGGACATAGACCTTCCCTCATGAAGCTTACAGACAAAAGGAAGAGGAGAATAAATGGGATAAAGGTGAAGAAGGAAGATCTCTTTACAGCTGAAGAAGCATATAAATTTACCTTTTTGTATCTTAAGGAAATTAGTATTAGACTCCCAAAACTAAATGTGCTCTTCTGTAAACAACAGAGCACTCAGGATCCTGCCTTGTGCTAAAGAGCAGTTGACACCAGTTTTTCTTTTATTTGCTATCATAAAATGATACCTTAAGATCTGAGATCAAGTGATAATCTGTAGCATCACTGTTCCATCCTGAGTGCCTGCCTGCTCTAACTTTGATAATGTCTGCATTTTCTGTGAATGTCTGCTACTTCCCGTTTCTTTCTATGGTTTGAAACTAAACTCTGATCTTTGCCTTTCTTCCTGCTTCCTGTCCAAATAGGACTTTCTGGATATCAACCCCAGGGCTAGAAACTCTTTCAATACTTCTGCTAGCTTGCCTATCTAGGACACCATATGCCCATCTATTCAGAAACCAAACTTTGAGAGAGTATCTTCTAATTTGTCTTAAAAATCCTAGATATCTCCTTCTCTATCACTCCATCTGATATGATATTAAATATCTCTTGTGTATTATCACCAAAACATTACTCCAGTCTGTCCTTTCCTCTGAATCTCTACAATTTCCTTAGTTTGTGGACTTTCACCCCAGAGACATTGGTCTCACCCAAAGACCTCTTAACTGGTCTTCCTGCCTTTGATCTTCCCAGCTCTAATCCATCTTTTACATCACTAACAGAGCAATGTTTCTGAAATAGGAATATATCAGGATCCGGTTCAAATATCCATTGTAGTTAGTTCCCCCTCTAAATGTAGAACTGAAGTCAACCTTTTTAAATGCCATACAATGCTCTTCTTGGACCTATTCTCCATCTCTTTCTAGAGTCTCATCCCTGCCATTCTCTGCCTCACGCTCTCATATTGTAGTACTGCCAAACCACTTGGGATTTCTTTGCATTTACTATGCTGTTTCTCTTTCCATACCATTCCTACAATTGCTTACTCTGCATGCATGGTCTGTCTTCTTTTTCTGGCCAGCTTTAAGATTCATCTGAGGGATCGGAATCCATATCAGCTTCTGCACACCTGTATCACAGCTCTTACAGATAATTTTGAAATTATCAACGTGTCAGCTTTTCTAGAGAAAAATGTTCCTCAAGGGGAAGGATCATGCCAAATTCATTATTATGCCCACAGCATGTAATATAGCATCTGGGACATACTAGCTATTCAGTAAATTCTCTGTTAAACTGAATAAAATTTGGCCTCTAAATGCCTTGTTGGGATTTATGACAAAAACAAATCCCTGATCTGTGGAAACTGCTTGCCTGGTATTCCCTAATGACTATCTCAATCCTCTTCCTCCCTGTAATGTATTGTTCTTAACCATTCTTTGGTTATCTTATCTGTAAGCCTGGCCTAACTCTTAGTTGGGCTTCATATTTATATTACACAACCAATGCCAGCAAAGCAACAGTGACACTATCCTCACCCAATCCTCTACTCCTTCCAGGATTAACACTAACAGAAGAAATTCATTTGGCAGATTTATGAAAACAATTACCAAATGCCCTGAGAGGTCCTTTTAACACTGCAAAATGTCAGCGTGGACTAGCTGAACAGCAATTCTACTTTCCATATAGTTTTGTCCTCTGATTTCAGATCTTATCTTCAATACTTATAGAGCTGTCCAGTCATAGTTCATGGGAATTACAGTATTGTAGCCCATCAATAACCTAAACCATCTTTCTAGTAAATAGATTCAATTCCTCCTTAGTCAGTTGGTCAGCGTGGTATTGCTTATCATGACCCTCTTACACTGTAGAGGAACACTTGTCTCACGCAGTATTAAAACTTGTCTGATCAGAAGTTCAATCCCATTAAATGATAAGGGAAAACTGCTCACTAGCTCCCAAATTAAAGAGCTATGATTAAGAGTCATCTCTGGCTCTCATAATTTAACTGAAGAACAGCAGTGAAAGCTTTCTATTCAGAAATGATAAAGATTTTAACTTGAAAGAAAATTTCAAGTACATTGGTCTTGTTGTCAGAATTGAGGAGTTGGGAAAAAGAAAAAAGAGAAATGCTTTACTAATGCACAATAGAAGTTTCTAGCCCAAAATTTCTGAGACAGCAAAACATGTATATTCTGAATTTCCTATGCAGGTGGCATAAATACAAGTTTGCATTTGGTTTTAGGAATGAGCAGCATCGCTATACTTAAAGTAGGAGGAAAATTTTACAAGGTTGGGTAAATTTCAATGGTCAATCACAATACTGTTAGTTTCTTATTTAGAATGGTGTGTGTGTGTGTGTGTGTGTGTGTGTGTGTGTGTGTGTGTGTGTTTTAAAGAGGTTTCTTTTATGTGCAGCTGGTCTTCAAAGGTGAAGGCCCTGTCTTTCCCCCACCTCCCACCTGTACTTGACTCATCAAGCTCAGGGCATTATCTGTGTTCACTGAGACATCCTCAACTTCTTCCTATTATTATACCTCTAATTAGCCAACTGAAGAACTTCTGCATGTTTTTTTGTATGATCAAGTTTAGATACTTCATTTTGCACTATAAATTTATAGAAACCTTCTGTAACATGACCGTAGCATCATATCCTCCTATTCTCCTAGGACAAATGTCAGAGTCAATTCTTCCTCCTCTTGTGTTTCCTTGTCAATGTTTACATACTTCTATAATAATATAATACATATTAAGGATTTTTAAAAATTTGTATACATTTTCATTTTCCTTAATTTTCATGGCTTACTTATACCTCTCATGTCTATACACAAAAGAAGTATACAATCAATAAATCGTAGTTGAATGAAAACTTTACATAGTAATACACACAATGGTAAGAACATTAATTGTGAGTCTAACATGCAATCTATTTTCCCATGTTATATATGGCACGGGAAAAGTCACATTCCTTTTCTAAAACCTCACTTCTCTCATATTTTTAAATTAGGATACGACATGAACTTGTAAGTTCTTTCTTACAATAAAATCCTAAGACTTGCACCACAACTGTTCATGTTTATAGTACAGCTGGTTTTCTTATTTAAATGGAATGGAAGATTTTTCACTTTAGCATCTTAAAGTGAAAAACACTAGTCCAGCAAGGAACACAAGTGCTTAGGTGACAATATTTGGATAAACAGACATCTACATTGTACTTGGTCACAATTTTCCATATATTTTAATTAAGGAATTTCCAAGTTGATCTGACATATGAGAAGAGCTGGTAATTATCTCATAGAGAGGAATTTTTTGCTAAAATTAGCAAATTGTTCAATTTTATTTAGATTTGCTTACATGCCCTTTATATTTAAGTCATCATGCCAAAGAACCATGAAGCAAGAAAGTTATCATCAGAAATAAAGTTTACCCTTCCTATTTTGTAACTGAAGAAACAAGATATCCAGAGCAATGAAGGGATCTGATTGAGCCACAAGGAGATTTCATAGGCTTTGAGCTTACCTTCAGGAACTAAAATATATTAAGCATCTATGTGTACATAAAGGTTGGTTATGCCTGCCCTGACCTTTATTCACTTCCCCAGACATTGCCTATCCCAAGGAAAAGGCAGAAGAATTTGTCTGACAATCTAGTTTTAATAATTCAACAGTTTTACCTTTCTTTATTCTCTCATTCTGTAAATTATCTTCCTATATAGTTAAGCTACTTTTTAAATGTTAAAATAAAGGAACATGGAAGTTTCTTAAATGCATGACAATGATATCTTTCCTAGAGCAGCTTTGTATGTCCTGTTATATGACAAAATCTATGGCTAGCCCAAATAAGACACCTTGAAGGTCATAAATATTATAGTAACTTTAGGATTTAAAGATAAATTACCTTGCTTTCTGCTAACCAGCGATGTGGGTCATAGTTAATGTCAGGACCAGATGAAAAGACCTACAAAAAAAGGAAATAGTCTATTAAGTAGAATTTTCTCTGAAATGAACCTACATAAGTGAAATTCTTCATCACAACATCTAAAAGTTTAGTCTCTAAATTTAAAAGTTTAAAAAGAAAACAGTTCATATCAAGTACGCAACCAATTCCAAACCACCATTTATCTAATATGTCTATTTACATACACATGTATGTATATATGTATGTATGTATGCGTTGACAGTAAATATTTAGCTCAAATACAGCAACATGAATCAAGTCTCAAGTGTTGGCATTGCTAGAACCTCCAGAGGCTGATTCCACAGAGTTCTGGCAAGCAGCCTCAATTAAACCACTACACTTCATTTTTGTTTCTTTCTTTCCCTCAGTCTTGTTCCACGTAATATATTTCAGTGGGTTAGATGCAATTACACGGAAATTTAATTCTTTGTCTCATTTATCCTTCTTTAATTTCATACTATGAGGGCCATTTTGTCTCATTAATGTTTCGGTAGAACTGACAGAAACTAATCAACATGACTTTGTGCAAACATTGCTTTATATTTCATGATGGTAACAAAATCCTACAATAAGTAGGTTGTCTATATCAGCTACCTTGATTTCCTTCACACCAACTCATTTATAAAATCCTTCTTCATCTGGTTCTGCCGTATTACTAATAAAATGGTGCTCAAAGTTTGTCAGTGACTTTATGATTGTAACACAAAATTTTTTCTGTGTTCCTACCTTCTTTGAAACAAGGGCTACCTGTGATATTTTCAAAGGACCCCTCTCTAGAAATTTTCTGCTTAAAAATACCCTATTGCGTTGCAAGAGACATCTATTCCTATTCTCAAGTATTTCCATATTTCCTGATCTGTGTGCACATCACTCCCCTAAGGAATATCGTTAGGTAATGCATTTAGACACATTATGAACGTATAATAATGCTGACCATATGCCATAAACAAGAGTGCTGTGCTGTAATCTTATATCCAACTTTTCTCTCCTCCATTTTTCTCACCATCCAAATTTCATGCCTCCCTGCCTTCAGTGAAAACCTGCCTAACCACTCTAGCTCAGTGTTTTTTTTCCTCTTTGAATTCTGTTATTTGTAAGCATCCCATCTGTCATTGATTGTCACTGATTATGATATGTTTTTATTATTCTTTCCCATTCATCTGTGTCGTAGTTTCAATAAAACCTCAGTGACTGAAGATCTAGTGCTCAAGTCTAAAATAATTTGATATGAGTATAAGGAATGTTCATATTTTGTGATTTTTTTCACAAATTTATATATAGTTTGTGCTTAAGAGAACAGCCTCATACACTTACAAGTGGTGTGACTTAATTTCTCTAAGCTGCAGATTATCATCTGTAAGGTAGGCAAATGACCTCATAAGGCCAAAGTATAAATTAAATAAAACAAGGGTTAGCATAGTGTCTGACACATAGAACATTATTAATACTACTAACTGCATATAAAGATGTCATCATCAGGAAATAGACTTCAAGGTCTATTATGACAAGAACACTATAACAACAATTTGTCATAAAAAGTTAAAAGAAAGAGGGATGCCCAGGTGGTTCAGTCAGTTAGACACCTGCCTTTGGTTCAGGTCATGATTCCAGGGTCCTGTGATGGAACTGCATCAGGCTCCATGCTCAGCAGGCAGGTCTGCTTCTCCCTCTGCCCCCCCTTCCCTAGTGCTCATTCTCTCTCTCTCTCTCTCTCTCAAATAAATAAAATCTTTTAAAATAAGTTAAAATAAAAGCTGTATATACATGAATATATAAATATATATATGAATATATGACCAAAAAAGGCACTACATAATAATGATAGCTAGAATTAGTTGAGTATTCAATAAGTGCAAAATATTTCATTCCATAATATGCACCTTATATATCTTATTTTACTTTATCCTCAAAATAAGCCAACTTATAAATGGGACATGAATTCTTACAGAAGAAAAAAATGCATAAATTGTCCAAGGTCAGACATTAGCAATTTGGAGAGATACAATTTGAGCTTCCATCTGTCTTATCCTATCCTTTTATGCTCTACAAATGAGTGAGTACTCAGATCAAGTGTTAGGAGTAAAGCTCTTCAATCACCAAAGATTGGTCTGCAAAAATGATGTAACTTTAATTCAGACACTTTCCTAATTGTTTTATAATAGTGATGGCTTATTAAGTGTCCTTTAGTTTTCAAACACTACATGCATTTACTAAAGTGGAATAAGTAATAAATATGGTGGCTGGAGAAAGAAAATGGTAATTAGAAATAATATCAATATTCCCAAGGACTTTTCTCAGGCTCATTTGGTACATATCTATTATCCAATTCATTTCATAGCTGTCACTCTCTACATAAAGTGGCCAAAAATTTCATGAGCATTATTTCAAAATCAACAAATGACAAAGAATAATTGGAATTATTTCATTTTTTTAAACATTTTATAAGGACCACCACTCTCCCTTAGATCTCTGAACTATAAAGCATAGAACTAATTTTATTTTAACAACACCTTGAGTGGTTTATTTGAAGTGAGAGCAAATGTTATATTCTTGGGTATTCATTTTTCCCCCAAGTTTGTAGGAAGGTAACAACAGAAGTTACTAACAGAAAGAGACCCACAAAAAAAAAAAACCAGTGTACTCTTAAAAAAAAAAAAAACTTAATAGAATTTCTATTTTTTTAGATTTACTTTTCACTCATCACTTGGACAGAATTAGTCTTTCTCTAGGGAAAGAAGTGTAAAGATCCATTACCAAAATCAGTGCATTCCTGAAAGCCTATTAAAAAATAGGGTGTTTTTTGGAATATGTTGGAGGGATAATTTGTTCCTCAAAAAGAAATAAAATATTTAAGCAATCTGCTATCTACTCACTATGCTTCAGCCTGTAATTGCCCATAGCAAGGCTTATATATCTTATACCATGATCCAAATGATTCCATTTCTACATCTCTAACTGAAAATAAGCCATCCTGACACAAATACTTAAATATAGAATAAATATTTCATTGTTAATATGTGCTTTTTTAGATGAAATTAGGATCTTAAGGCCACACATCCTTTAAATATAGGTAAACATGACAAGTCTTAAATAAAAAAAAAGCAGCAGCAGACAGGAAAAAGAATAAACCATCATTATAACAGGTCCTATAACAAAACTGAAAGAGTTTTTCCTCTAAAGCCAATTACTTCTCATATTTGGCTCACAGTCCTCTCAAAATGACATCTAGGCCTTTTTAAAAATGTAGAACTTCCATCAACTCCACCAAATTCTATCCACTGAAATATTTCTGTTAAAGATGAATCCTAAGGTACCTCCCATTGCAAGAGTAGAATTATAGTTTTATTTTCTTTAAAACACCATATTGGGGGGGGGCGAGGATAAGGGAGAGTAGGAAAAAAAGAAGAGAAAGCAGCAGGAAAAACAAAAAGGGAAGATCATTTTTTATGAGGAAAAAGATAAATGACAAAATAAATAGAAGAAACACCTGGAAAGTATTAAAAACTAAAAAGGCCTTAGGCATAACACTATAATTTGAGTCCTGCCATCTCATCGCATGAAATAAATACAGGTAATTGATGGCTAAATGATAATAAGTTATGATCCCACTGTATCAAAGCCACACAATGCAACATAGTGGTACTATGACCTAGAACAAAGGAGGTAATTGCCTTTCTGGAATTAGGAATATATATGATCGATTCTTTTTATTTATCATTCCATTAGAACTATAAATTGAATAGCAATATTCCATTTTAAAGATAGAAAAAAACAAGTATAATTGCTCTCTGATCAGGGAAGGCAAATAGCATAGGGGTCATGTGCTTAACCTCCAGAGTTAGAGTCCCAAGGTTTCAAGTCCTGGTTCTAACCTTTAAGTAGATACATGGCCAGAGGCAAATTGCTTAACCTCCCCAAACCTTACTTTCTCTTGTCTAAAATGGATTTAATCAAAGTACTTAAAGGACATGGTGGTTTTAGGGGTTAAGGGAAAGGATCATACACTGTAGCTACCACAGTATCTGTACTATAACTAGCACTCAATAGATGTTGGCCAGTCATACACTAACGACAACAAAAATGGCCTGTGATAATGAAAACCTTTAGATTCCAAGGATATTTTTCTAGTCAGAACTGTTGCCTCTCTCATAAGACATCTTCTTCTCAGAGTGATAGAGGCAATTCAATGAATTAATGGAACACTTTCTCTTCCAGGACTGTGCAATAGATATAGTATCACATTCTAAAAAAGCACAAGGTGTTACTTTGTTTCATAAAACTTTTCATAATAAAAATGTGAATACCATGCAACTATGCATTAAAATCTTATTATAATTATGTACTAGGAAACTAACTGAAAGGCACAATGAGAACTCATAATTACTTTCAATTTCTCCATTGAGTCCCTGGAGAAGGTTTTACAAGCTGCATCAATTTCCTTTCCTATGACACCAAGAATGGATTCCTGTTCAGTCTCCAGGCAAAGAAGTTGATCCTTGAGCTGCAATCTGGCCTCTTCCATCCTCCTTAACTGCTCTTCTTCATTGCTTATGTGTTTTTCCTAAAACATTGATAAGCAAAAAAAGAGTTAATTATTAAGGCAAGAAATGCTTGTAATATCTGTACAACCAACTCAAAAGACTACAGTAGTAAACAGAGTTATTCTGTCTCTTTACTTCATTAAAATAAAATGTGCTGCCCACTCATCAATTGAGGTCAAATTACAGAGAATTCAGAAAAAGGGCACTGAGGAACTGGGAGAGTGGATGCTTGGCAAAGAAAATTAAAGTAATTCTGTTACCAAAAAAAAAAAAAAAAAAGAAGTTAAAAAAAAAATCCTTTACATTTTAATAATATAATATCATTAATGGGTTGGAGAGTGAAAGCTGATGCCATGAACAGACTTTAAGATTTCAATAAATATCAGCAAAACACTGGAAAAAGTAAAATAAAAATAAGATTGTGAGTTTCCTTTCAGAAATAAATGCCTATTACTATCTTATCTCATCAAAATATAGGCTTTAGAAAGCCTAAGTTTGCAAATGCGTCATACTGCATAAATGCTTTGAGTCATGTAAATTTGATAAAGGCAAGATGGAGGTACTGTTCAAGTAAGCAAATATATTTAATGAAAAGAGGTTTCTAAGAACACTTTAAGAGATTACAAAGACTTGGGGGCCCGCTCTAGGTAAAGGAAGTCTCCGTCATGATTGCACAATTTTATTACGAGAGAAATTCAAGTGGTATAGCCCAGACCTGGAGGAAAGTAACAGAATCACTAGATTCATAAGTACAAAGAATGGCCCCCAAAGACATGGCTAGCTAGCTTTGCTTTCATTCATTACACAGTAACCTGATCATTCTTTACCTACCCTAGTAAATATAACACAAGCAAGAAGATTATGAGGAAAAAAACCCAGCTTGAAATTAAGATATCCATTTACCCAAAGTTAATCAGGAAAGGAACATGCTAGTGTTTTAGCAGAATCACAAGATATTTCCTTTCCACTTAAATTACTTTAAAAAATGAATGAAAAACCCTCTGCCCAAGACTGTCCTTTCATAAACTGTCTTCTGCCCTTCCCTCCAGCCTCACACCTCCCTCCTTCCCACTCTCATATTTCAACTACTTGCGGCTACTCAAATATGCCTTCATATGTCTCTCCAACCACATCTGATGTGTACAACACTGCCTGAAGCTGCACTATTTGAAAATGGGGCTGGTAGCTAAAAGATAGTATTTATCTTGATGACTACATCCTCCCGGTTTGTATCTCAGCTTTATAAACTTAGAAACTGGATCTGGTATCCTGAGTGGAATCATCTTTCAGCAAAAGAGTAACAGTAAGCTCACAAGAGACTAATGCACAAACTAGAACGCCACTCAATTAACTACATCAGTTTACAATGAGGACCATAACTGCCATATGGATCAGAACGTTCATGTCAGCATAACCAGTATATACTCTCCCTGCAGAACAATCTGGATGGGAAGGCAAATTATAATCAGAATGTTGCTTAATGAATGGGAAACTGGAGTGAGGAGAGGTTTTTTTAATGAAACAATGTGTAAATGGCATTACGCTAATGGCAGCCTGGCATGTCCATCTACACATCAGGGACCTACAAACCACAATAACAAGTGTTCCATCCTCCTGGTAGTGTGTAGATGGAGACCGCTGAAGTGCATCTACCTAACTTTCTCCTTCGTTCACATTCAGTTTCTGCCCAAACTCTCCCTCCTGATTGTTTTTGGCATCTCTTTAGATACATTGATAACTTCACAAAGTCTCACTCTTTTCTAGGAGCCTTTCTGAAAAATTAACATCCTGGCTCGGAACAACATTTGACTTTTAAAGTTTACTAGAAAGCAACCTTACTGTCAAGTCCCTAGGTAAGTATACTTGCCTCTACTATTGGCTACGTACCTACCACCTATATTTCCTATCCCTCAAAATTTATCCTTCAGGACCTACTCTCCTTTCCTTAATGACTTCCCAAAGCATAATGTTCCCTGAGCATATTATGTATATCACAGTTTTTTAAAAAATGTATCAAGTTGTAATATAATTGTTTTTATACCTCCATCAATAAACTGCTAATTACAGGAGACTGGAAAACATGCTTATAATCATCTTTAAACTTCCTAACTTTATTGAATAGGTGATACATAATTTTTCAAGGACTCAAATTCAACAATAGAAAGATCATTTCATCAATGACCATGCAGACTTATATACACTCAGAAGCTACTGAGGTGTGCTTGGAGGTTCCTCCTATGCATAAATAGACCTCCAGACTGCTGCTGTATTCTCTCTGGTGTGCTATTAATAAATAAAATATTGTATCAGGGATTACTGAAGTATTTAGAGGACAATTGCTTGATATTCTAACCCCAGGCAATTCACAATGATGTTCTAACTGTTCTTTCTTTTCTCATTTCCCTCAGAGCCAGTTTTCTTCTATCCACTACCACTTTTCTGTGCTGTCACTTGACTCAATAAGACAAAACTATTCTATATTTAGCTATTCCTAAATACGTTGACATTGTCAGAAAAGGCTGTATAAATTCAATCTCTTTAGCAGAGACTGAAAACTTCATTATCCACTTCACTATCTTCTATGAGATAGTCTATATGCCATGTCCCAACCTTCCTTTGAAGTAGAATTCACAGCACATTTCTGACAAATGGTCATCCAACCCCTACATGACCAGCTTTAGTTTCAAGGAATAGAACCCTGGACAAAACTATAACATCTTTCCATTAGTCTAAGTGCTATACTGCAAAATTAAAGTAAATAAATGAGTCTCCTACCCTTACTAAATCACATTCCAGGTAAATCCATGTTCTTTTATTTACCTAAATTTCAGACACTACACCATACTGGTTCTCCATCTGCATGTGCTCCAAGACCTTAAATCTAGGAGTTAAGTAAGCTCTTTCATTCTATACTTCTGTACTATTCTGTATTGATTTATTCATTCATTCAACAATTTTTTATACAAAGCCTACTATGCTAAGACATTCTCCTGAGTATTAGGAACAGAGTGAATAAAATAAGGCTCCTGTTCTCATATAGCCAAAAATGTCTCCATGTAATGCCATCTCTTTTGTTTTGCCTCTTTATTCTGGCTTGAGAATACTTAATTGAATACCAATAGTGGCATCCAATGAATTAGCTTTCTCTCCCAGCTTCACGTTTCAGAAACAGCTCTATAAATGGAACAAGCACAGCTAATTCTGAGGAAGAAGTAAGAAACTGGCTGACATTAATCCAATCATCCTGTCTGAGTTGAGGGTATATGGATTAGGGGAGATGATAATATTTAGGCACTACTATGACTATTCCCTGGTTCTTTACTGAATTTAGAAGGAGCAATAATTCTACAATAAGATTAACCAAAAGCCACCATATTTCTATATAACCAGAGGTAACTCAAGATGTTTTAGAGACTATTTAGAAATATGCAAGAAAAAGTAGCTTTGCGGCACGCTGGACTTCAAGAAATATGGAAGACATACTCAGTCCAACTTCAATGTTTCAGCATGAATGGATACAAATGTGTCTTGGGAACATAAAAGGAGCTTCTCTGGTTGGGGTGGGAGAAGTTGGGATTAAAGAGATAGATACAGATGAAGCTGACTATAGCAGTCTATATAAGTCTATACAATCCAAAAAAGAAAGATATCCTAGACCATGACTGAGTTTGAGAATCTTAGTAAGAACAAACTCAACCCTAAAGTACACAAATGAGGAAGCCAAAGTTCAGACAGACTAAATAACCGGACTAAAGTTGAAGGGGCCATAACCCATAACCTGAGTCCCCTGCTCCTAAGTGCTCTCTATTAAAATGCCAGAGAAGTTGCGTTCTTAAAATTGGAATTTAGAAAGCCAATGTGAAAAACTCAGGAAATTCATCAGCAAGTTATGTGGGGACTAATGCAGCCTTAATGTAGAAAGAACAACAAAAAAATACTTCTGAATGAACATTACAAATGAAACACATGACATATTGGGAAATTCAGAATAGACCACAAAAAAATAAAAGAGAGAGAGAGAGAGAAAAAAAAAACCATCAAGCATGCACAACATGACTAAACTTTTAGGGGTTACCCATCTAAAGTGGAGATGTACCGGATGTAAATGGAAAATCTGCACCTGGCAGATTTTGGCCAAAAAAATATACTAATCACACAGTAAGCAAGGTACAGTTCCATTGTCAAGACAGCACAAATTTTATGAAGCTTCCATTTCAGGACAGCTTTCCATTTAAACTGCTGAAATTTGTGTCTAAAGTAAATAAAAATAAAATCCTGCTCACAATCTCATCAAACACACATATGTGCACATATTCAATGCTGACTGGATTCATCAACGGACTTGTAATTCAAAGGATGAGAAATGTTCCTCTAATTATATATTTATGTTACAGCACACTTTTTACAAATCAGAACATCCACTTTCCCAAAGGCTGTAAAGATTATGAGACACAATCTTCTCAGAAATAGAACTTCAGTAAAACTAGAGACTGCCCAAAATATTATCTCCTTGACAAAAGTTTACGAGATTCCTTCGATGTCTTAAGAGTTCCAGAAAAGCCATTTTATCTCCAATATGGCTGTTACAAGACATGAAAACAGCTCTTCACATATCTTAAAAGAAGATTTTAGCAAATAAAGCAGACTCATGTGACTAAATGAATCATTAATTACAAAACTGATATTCCTTTACTGAAAATTAACTTGAATAAGCAAGTATGACAATATTTCAGCCCCAAGGCCATCTTTAATACATCTGCGGGGTTGGGGGGGGCAGGATGAGAGGCAGAGAGAGATCAAATTACATTAAAGGCTGGAATTAAAACAAACATAATGTAATTCAAAGTAATTGGAAGCACAGCATGCTGAAATTATAGATCAATACATATCACCTAAAAAGTTTTGAGAAAAAATATTTCTGTAACTCAAGATAACTGTTATGCCTAAGCCTTAAATCCAGGACACTAGCATTTCAAGGCAAATTATGAAACTATCCTGAACAAAAATTGGATCTGTCCGG